AAATGATGATAGCTGAAACTTTTGGACAGCTTATTTGTAGATTTAAAACCAAATTATGAGGGTTTGAGGAAGGGACATGATAGCCTTTAATGTATGATTGTATTTGAGAAAGATGTATGTTCTTTTTTATCATTATTTATACTGAAACGGTATTTTGTTCCCCAGGACACTGGCCTAACATTTCATAAAGAGAACAATATCAGTCTCTCTTCGTTTAGTGGACCTCTTTCCCCCATATAAGCCCTACCACTTTTTATATACTAGTTGTATTTGACTTTTTTGTGAATACTACAGTTATCATTAGGATTCAAATGTCTTCCTTGCCAATATTACCACTGTGACATTGTGGAATATTATATATTATTTGATTATATATTTTCTTATTTGGATTTTTATAAAATAAGCCTGCCTCTCTCAACCTTTCCATTTTCAGTTCAGTTCTACAATGACAATATTCTTCTGGTTGTTACTGGAAAATGGGTCAGCTCCTACTGAAAAAATTGCGTCTTGTCACAATTATAAATGGTTGTTTCTGCAAAAAAACCCCAAACCTTTTACCTTGTTGAATCATGGCAGGACACAAGGCATGCTCTAAGTGTAGTGGAAACATTGGGTTCCTATACATGCAGACATCACTACTGTAGAAAAGCAATTTGGGGCCATTTCCTTTAATGTCTTTGAGAACATGACTTTAATTTTCTTTGTTCACTGAAGACTTAATATTGCAATGTACTTGGTTACTTCACCTCAGTGTAATAACTGTATTCAGGTTTGACTTTTTGGGGGGGAGAGGGGTTGTGTAAATAATTTCTTGTTTTTGTTCTCTGCAACCAAATGTTCTAGTAGTTATTGGGATGACTTAGTTATTACTAGTTTGAGCTGCTTCACTTGATATTCTATTACAGTACCTGTTGGTACATCAAGAGAGGAGCTATAGAAACTGGAAGTTGTCATGTTATTTGTTTTTGAGATTCACTTAGCTAAATATGCCAAGTCATTAAAGAAAATAGAAAATAAAAACATGGTCTGAAAACTCTTCTGCTTGAAAGCTTTCAGGACCAGCAATATCTGGATAGTATTATATCACCCCAGCACTGCTACAAGGAAAAAGCCCAAATATTTGTAACAGCACAAAGTGAGCAGGTCCAAGTATGTTGATAATGTTTTTGACAAACTGCTGTTTTGTTGTGTGACTCGTTTAGAAAAGCCTGTTAATTTACAGCACTCATTGTTTGCTTTTAGATACCAAAAGAATATTCTTTCAATTTGAAGTACGCATGTAATACAGATAACAATTAGATGGATCATATTTGTTTTTGGAAATCTGGTGATTAAATGTCATCTCTCTATGATATGATATGATGTACTCCAAACTACAATGACAACGTAGCCAGTTATTTTAGCTAGCTGCAGAGCCAATCAAGTACATGTTGCTTAATTTGCCACAGTCTTTACAACCAGACATTGAATTCCAGTATCATTTTTAGTTTTGACAAACTTGGTAAACATTTTGAAGACAGGAATTATTGAAAATTAATTGAACATACATACCATACTATATTCAATATTGCACTATCCTTAAAAAATTAATAAAACGTAGAAAAGAGAAAGAACTTGAAACAAATTAGGGGCCAGTAATTTTTGTGTGGTTCAGTGTGCTGCAGTTTTGTAAATGTTATGTAAATTTAACACTCATTACCTTTACAGGAATTCAATCGTTATCCACAGAACAGGTACAGTAACAAACAGTGACAATTAAAGTTTTCTCATGCTGCTTTGCTGTGTTCTAATTCAGAGCTGAATCTGGAGTTCTCCAGACTTGTTAGATGTATTATTTTTGTTTGTCCTAACAATGAAGAACTTAAGTTAAAACTGAAATACAAATCTGAGTCCATATCCACTTCTCTGAGAGTTTGTGGATAGGTCTACTGTTTCATCAATACTAGTTGGTACCTTAGAGCTTTAAATATTGTGTATTTTTTAACTAATTTTATATTCTTATATATTCTTTATATTCTTAGCATTTTTTCATCTGAACTTTTCCAATAATTTAATCTGTTTAGGCAGACTTTTTTACAGAATGAAAAGCAGGAACACATAACAGAATAAGTTACGTGCTCAATGCTAAACACCTGTTTGTTGGTAAAAGCAAAGTACAACTCGGATCTGCTGATCCCCCAGTCTAGTGCCCTAGACAGTAGACTGTACTTCCTCTCTGTTGTCTCTGGTAAAGTACTGTGAAGGTCATGTAATGCTCTTGATTAGCGTTCCAAATGCCATTCGATATGATTGAGAGCAATCTGCTTTGACCAAAGATAGTGTATGGTGCCATATGTTGCTTATTGCAGATGGTTTTTAAATGTTCCACAGAAATTGTATCTGGTAAAAACAAGATATGTAACATAGTAATGTGTTGTTACACACAAATCCCCAGATAACTACTAGAAATAAATGAATGAAATGAATTTTGAATTTAGAACAAGACATGTGTGGTATTCATTACAGGATTAAGTTTGCAGCTTTTTTAACAGCAGTGAAATGGATTGTTCTTTGTAGGTTTGTTCATTGTTCTGATCCTAACATGTTGACTTCAGGCATCTGCAGAATAGCTAGTTTATGGATAGCAAACAGCATTGTACTGTTTCCAGTCTGTGGTGTGAGAGCCTTGAGAAGCTTATTTGGTAGTTTGCAACTGTGCTGATCAGTTCCCTACAGCTCTCACTTAAAACAAACAATCCTTTCTGAGGTTCAGGAGCAGGAACAAATGACAGTCATTCAGCATATGCACAGAAAATTTAGGAAGACTAGTCTTGTTTAGAGCGTCCCTAGAGGATTTTGTGTTCAGATTCAAAATAAATTTGAAATTCATTTCAAGTGCTTTGTGGTTGCACAGGTGTCTGTGAAAATCTCAACCCTTAAGCCCTTATGTGCTGGTGCTGTCAGAATACTGCTGCTGGTAACATACAGTTTGATAGTATCACTTTGTTTGGATTTTTGCTTTACATTGTTGGTTCCTGTTAACTGATTTTTTTAATGAGAGATTGACTATTGGTAGAATATCATGGATTCCAATACTTATCTCCAGCTTTATTTAAGGAAAATAACTTTGCTCTGTGAATAATATAATGGTATATTTGATAATAGAAACTTAATTTTCTCTTTATTTTTTAAAACATTTGCCTTATGGTGTAGGTTATACTGGAGAGCTATGTCAGTCAGAGATTGATCACTGCAGCCCACAGCCATGCAGAAATGGGGGTACCTGCTTTTCTAATACCAGTGGATTCAACTGTCGGTGTCCAGAAGGTAAATAGCAATGACTTCTCTATTTTAAATAACATTTTCTCTCTGTTTTAGTAAAGCTAATATTATACTGGATACACTTTGATGGTGTCATGTCAACTACAAGAAAATATATTTAGACATCAACCTAAGTAGGTAAAACTACTTACATTATAATTTACATTATAATTTACAAATCACCAAGTTACAAGTTTAAGCACTGCTGGTTAAATGTATATGTTGAATTAAAGCTTTCTTCACTTCCTTTGAATTTCTCATCTGAAAATCAGTTTAAAACTCTTGTCAGAAAAGCACATGAGAATTGGAAAAGATTTACAGTGCTTCCTGATTTTTGTCTTGCCTGGACAGTACTAGAAAAGCTGCTGCTTTTCATGGTAGTTGGTTGTTTCTCTTTCTGCTTCTGTGTTCAGATGAAATTTATAAAGTGTATAGGACTGTGTGTTTTCATAGAATCAAAGGACCAGAAGGGACCTGTAAGATCATCAAGTCCCTCTGCCAAGGGCAAGAGGTTATTGCGCTCAAACAAGCTCAATGAGGTGCTTGTCCAGCCTTCTCTTGAACACCTCCAAGGTTGGTGACTGCAACACCTCTGCTGGCAGTGTGTGCCAGATTCTAGATACCCTTACAAAAAATAAATTTCTCCTTATGTCCAACCTTAATTTTTCCTCAATTAGCTTGTGTCCATTGGTCCTCATCCTCCCAGGGGGTGCCTTTCTGAAGAGTTGCTCCCCTAGATCTTGGTGTTCACCTTTGACATACTTGTAGGCAGCTATCAAGTCACCTCCCTCTTCTTTTGCTCAGACTGAACAAGCCCAATTCCCAGAGTCTCTCCTGATAGGGTCTATCCTCCAGGCCCCTAATCATATCGGTAGCACTTTTCTGTACCCTTTCAAGCTTATCCACATCCTTCCTGAACTGTAGTGCCCAGACCTGGACACAGTACTGCAGCTATGGCCTCACCAACCCTGAATAGAAGGGGAGGAGCACCTCTCAGGATCTGTTCACAACACATTGGCTGATTCACGCCAGAGTCCTATTTGCCTTGCTGGTGACTTTATCACACTGCTGGCTAATATTAATCTTCTGGTCAGTTGTCACCCCAGGTCTCTTTCAAATGCAGTACCACCTAGTGGACCACCACCCATCATATAATTATGGTGAAGGTTATTCCTACTTAGATAAAGGACCTGCCACTTGTCCCTATTGAACTTCATCAGCTGAAGTCTAGGTAAATGATGTCAACCTCATTTCCTTTTTCCAGCTGGTTAGTTACCTGGTCATGAAAGGACCTGCCCTCCACATAGTTTCATAGTAGCTAGGGTCAGGAGGGACCTGAACAGATTATCTAGCCTGACCCCCTGCCACAGGCAGGAATGAATGCTGGGTTCACAAGACCCCAGACAGGTGATCATCCAACCTCCTCTTGAATTTGCCCAATGTAGGGGCGAGAACTACTTCCCTGGGAAGTTGGTTCCAGATTTTGGCCACCCTAACTGTAAAAAATTGCCTTCTGATCTCTAATCTAAACCTATTCTCCATCAGCTTATTGCCATTGTTCCTTGTCACCCCAGGTGGTGCTGGGGAGAAAAGGGCTCTACCTATTTGCTGTTGATCTCCCTTGATGAGTGTGTAGGCAGCCACCAGGTCCCCCCTCAGCCTCTTCTTGCTGAGGCTGAACAGGTTCAGGTCCCTCAGTCACTCCTTATAGGGCCTGTCCTGCTGCCCTCTCACCAAGCGGGTGGCCCTCCTCTGAACCCTCTCCAGGTTGGCCACATCCCTTTTGAAGTGTGGCGCCCAGTATTGGACACAGTACTCCAACTGCGGCCTGACCAAAGTTGCATAGAGAGCAACAAAGCCATGCTGGTTGCTTTTTAGTACCCCATCAGTTACAAGCTTGTGGTTGATGGCCTCCTTGACAATTTTTTCAAAGATTTTTCCCAGGACTGAGGTCAAACTGACCGGTTTGTAGTTTGAAGGGTCATCCTTCATCTCTTTCTGAAAGATGGGTACCACGTTAGCCCTCTTCCAGTCGTTTGGGACCATTCCTGAGTTTCATGACTCTTTGAACAGCTTCGCTAGATGCCCTGCTATGAGCTCAGCCAGTTCTTTCAGGACTCTTGGATGCAGGTCATCTGGCCCAGCAGACCTGAACACATAATAATGTTCTAAGAGTACCCTTACCTGTTTGGGACTAATTTCGTGTGGATTGTTGTCCTCCCCGTATTCTCTGGGCGTCTGGACAGGTGAACAGCTCCCATATGATTTCAGGAATACCAATGTGAAGTAAGTATTTAGGAGCTCTACCTTTTCACGGGGATCAACTGTAGGCTGCTCCCCCCCACCCCCAGTATTCAGTAGGGGTTCCACAGTGGAGCTTGATTTTTGTCTTGCTCCCTATTTACCTATAGAAAGACTTTTTGTTGTCCTTTATTTTAGTTGCCAGCTTGATCTCCATGTCTGCCTTGGTTTTCTGTGTCTCATACCTGCAGACCCTGGCCATATGATTGTACTCCTCTCTGGATGCTGAACTGTTTTTCCATTGCTTATATGCTTCTTTTTTCTTTTTAATTAATGAAACATTTTCAAGTCTCATTCTCATTCCTGTTTGACCTAATTTATCTATTACTACATGAGCACCTTAAAATAATTTTATCAGTTAACACTATAATGTCATTTCTATAAAATAAAACCTTGTGGCACTGAAAGTTTATTATTTTTGTAGCATAGTTCTGGCTAGAATGGTTATTTTCATAACTTGATTGCTACAAAATAATTATCTATAATGAAAGCTCTAAAATAATCTATTAGTCATTGGTAACAAAATAATTACAATCAGAACCCTGAGGCAATTATATTCCTGCTTTCAGTTACTGTAGATTCCAGTTCTTCTAAAATTACACTTGGACTCAGTCTTAGGTAGAAGTGTTTTGCTAATTCATAATTGCTTAGATGGGGAAGCATACATCTACTCAACAATGAAAGGTTATTTTTAACTGCTTCACATGGGTTTCACTCTTTCCCTTGAGTTAGTTGCTCTAATGAGTGACCCACTCAGCTGTGCTAAAATCCAGAAACTGACATTGTTTCAGCAATTTGAATCGTGTATTTAGATAAAAATTACAAATGCTCTGCTATATAAATAGTAGCAGAATTTGGGGAAACAATCATTAGATGTTGAGAATTAATCCAACTTAGCTGACCTTTCTAGAGAAATGTGCTCAAGTACCCTATAAAACTAGTTAAGATGAAAAGTTATCAAAAAGGACTATAATTATACTGTGTGTGTGTGTGCACGCGTCTACACACACACACACACACACAGAGAATTTTTGTCATATTTGAAGGTGACATGTTCGTGCCTGTGTATAAACTAGTAACTCATATTATTCTCAGACTGACCAGCTAATGGTCCTGGGTCAGCTTCTCCTGAAACCCTTCCCTCTCCCACAACCCCAGGCTCTTAATTTTCTTTATTTTTCCTGTAGGTAGCAGTAGTGAGCAGGGATGCAAGGCACTAGCTGTTGTGCACTTGTACCTAACTGCTGTGCTTGCAATGTTCTGAGATAATACACCAGAATGAGGCCCCTCCAACTCTTTTTACCCCTTTCAGCATCACTTGTTATGGAGATCTGTGCGCTATGTTCAGCTTCATCCTGTGGTTAGGTCTGCTTCTGTTTTCCCTGCGTGTCTTTTTTTTCTGAAGCTTGGTTTTTTCTGCCATCAGCCCAGAACAATCAGTCTTCAAACTCTAAAAATATCAAAAAAATTTTGGTGCTGTGGCCCATGTTCTACTCTGAATAGCAAATGCCTTGGTGATAGAGGTTCAGCCCTTTGCTATTTTGTTTAGTGTTTTACTGTTTTTCTTCTTGCCACTTTGGTGCCATTTTCTCAGCGTTCTCACATTTTGCTCTGGCATTTCTACCTTCTTGTTTGCCATCCCTTATGAAACCTTTGTTCCTAGTTCTGAGTCTTCCAGGCTTCTGTGCTATCTGTGTTGTCTTTTGCAATATTATGTTTCATTTCCTGAGAATGAAAGACAACTTCTCAGTCACAGTAAGGTTTCTGTGCTGCACAGATATAACTAATGCATGCTCATTTTTTTTTCTGCATCACCTACTATAACTTTCTGTGAAGGTATGTCAGAGCTACTGTCACTGTCAGCCCTGGTACTCAAGTATTTCAGAGAAACACCTCCATTCCTTTCACAGAGAGTCCCATAAATAAATCAGGAGGTCAGAAGCATAATTTTGAGTTTACCCCTTTACCACTGGACACTACAGCTTATGTTGGCACTGTGATGGCACAGTAGGGGATGCTACTATACAGAAAATAAAAGGACAAACTTATCTGCCCAAACAGGGGGGTGGAAGGCCTCCTGCCTCTACAGCACAGCAATGAAGATTGTAACCTGACACCTTTATTGAATGGGGGGGAGGGTAGAACAAGGAAGTCAGAATATACTTTGAACAAACAAAAGCAACTTGAGTACTTGTCACATCTTAAAAGGGTCATCATATCCAAATCTCTGTAAAGACTCAAGTGTAGCTGCGTGGGCTGCTTGCTTGTAGTTTTCAAAATGCCTGCTGGAAGGAAGAGAGACCTCTCCCCATCCTCCTAGGAATTTTATCTGGCCAGGTCACCTGATTGACTAGCCTGAACCAAGAAAAAAGCAAGGAGAGAGAGGGGTCACCTGGGCTGACCCAAGTGAGGGGCAGAGAGAGGTGGAGGGGATTTCTTCACAGGCACCCCCACATTGATGCACATTATACATTTTCTCTGGGCCCCACAAGCATAGCTTTATCAACAAAGCTGTGACTTAACCCTGCTGAGTCCATGTTGTCCTGTGCATTTCAGTAATGAAGTTTATGGAACTGACACCATCTCACTTTTATAAAACTATGAAACTATAAGAAGCATCCACATAAGAAACCTAAAAAAAACTAAAGGCAATGATTTTTGTGGGCGATGTCTTTTATTGGGCCAGTTACCTGGCTGAGATAGAT